ACATACATACATACATACATATGGCACACACACACACATATATATATATATATGTGTGGATATATATACATATAATATACACAAGGGATTTAGGGTGAAGGGGTGGTCTGGTGACACTTGAGTCCAGTAGCAATAAGGGCTTAGGGGTGAGGATGAGGAGGTTTTAGACTGTTCTAGAGTCTGACACCTTTGCATGTAAGGCGTCCTGGTTTTTTTCGCTTCGATGTGGCAGTGGTACATGGTTGCTAGTTCGGGGAGTTGCCATGCCCACAGTCCTAAGCAGACCGTGCGACGAAAAACACAAACTCCAGGCTGCTTCAGCTGTGATGCAAAGTTGATGAGAAGCCCCGCAAGACCTGCATGCACTCCAGGTGCATTGGCGGTGATACGCGATTGGCTGGCAAGGAAGCGCCCTTCTTCGGGGGCGAGGGTGAGAGCAGGTGCGCCGACGAGAGCCCCATGGGCTTCTGGTACAGCTTACCCAAGGCGGGTCACTGTCCCCCCGGGCAGGCGCCTTCGACAACAGCGTCGGAGTCAGGATGCACATGGTCCATCATCAAGCGTGCAAAGACCATCCATCAGACTTGCTTGATCAAGGACCATAATTTCCTAGCAAGCTGCAAAGCAGACTTTGCGCAGAAGGACTTCGCACGAAGTTCGGCTGCCTTGTCAGCTGCTTTCGAGTCGGAGGACTTCTCCAAGGGTGGTTGTCCTGACATTGGCGGACCTGACAGTCAAGAAGACGTGGCGTCTTTTGTGGTGTAGCCACAGTGCCAGCTACTGATTCTCCCAATGCTTCCAAGCATTCGAAGTCGGGTCTGCAGAAACCAGATTGCTACAGCTCAGGCTTTTAGACGTGGCCATGTAGACCCGACGAAAAGGCCTGTACACCGACACTGATGCAAGTAGCCTTGCTTGCACAGTAGCGCACCGGTAAAGAATCTTCGCGCTGACCACGTGGCAAGCAGCTGGTGCACAGACTGTGGCGAATCGGTTGCGCTGATGCTTTGAAGGAAAGTGTAATCTGTGTATGTAGTTCGCAGCGGGTTTTTGCTTTTTGCACAGGCAGCGACACGCCACAAATAGCAAGCTTTCCGTGGTTACAGATTTGCTGCCATCCGGCAAGCGGACACTTGGTCCGCTACAAAAAGAACATGGGAAGAGGGGGTTGATCCCTGGGTCCTTTAGCTGGACTTCATTTTGCCATATCTATATATAAGCAGCTATTTTTCGAATAACAACGACAACTAACGATTTCTGCTGCTGTCGCAACGACGACCAGGAAAATTAATTCTTTATTGATCTGACGATTACGATAATAATTATTATTATCACTACTATTACTACTGCTACCAACTACAAATTCTCAATTATCTTCTTGAAGATAATAATATACAAATATATATATATATATATATATACATATATTTCTTTATTTCATTCTATTTTATCATAAAATTATCAGATTTTCTATTAAGAAATATTTGTTCAATAATTGATTCTAGAATCCTATTAAATAATTGATTCTAGAATCCTTCATTTTCTTATATATATATTTCTATATAAACATTTTTCAGAAGGATAAATTTTCGTTGAAAAATGATATTGCGAAATATTTATTTCTAAAAATTATAAATATACGAGGGAATCTGGATAATTTTTCAAATAAATATAAAAATATATCTTAATTTTGATATTTCTAGGAATTAACAAATATATATAATATATGTCAACATATGGTTTTATTTTTAATAAATAGAAGAATATTATAAATTAGTTCTTTAGAATACTTAGTATAGAAGAGATTCATATAGTTCTATATTAAATAATCTTATATATGATTTTCTAGATTTTCTTTGGTCTAGAAAATTGAAAAAATATTCTCTAATAATAATATATATCGGGCTGAACATAATCGATAATCGATAATTTTTTCTTGGCCTCTCCCCTCCCCCTCCCTTATAATTTCTCTCTTTGATATAGTTCTTCGTCAAATTTTCTTGGGAGGCTATTTCGCGGAAATTTTAATATCGGTTCTTCTTCGGCATCTAAAATTTCGAAATTTTGGTCACTTTACGAAATCTCGTGGAATTAAAATTTCTTTCTTTTTTGGAAATTCTACGAGCGGATTTTTTGGTAGGTAGGTTTGCAATCATAAAAAAAAAATCTGAATTTTTTGAGAATTACTCGTAATCGTAGAATTTCGGAATTCCAGCTCTAGTGTCGTATTTTCTGAATGAAGGTGGTAATTTATATATCTCTGGGAATGAATCTCCGAAAATATTTTCATACGAGATTATTGATATTTATTTTTATGAATCTATCTTTCTATATATCACTTTATATATCTATGAATCTATCTAGATATCTAATCTATATATCTATCTCTATATATGAAGATTATTTAGAATTATAGATTCCGACATCATTATTTCAGAAATAATTTCTCAAGAACTAATTTCTGAAATAAGCATAACTTTTATTTATTATATCTCTATTTTTTTTCTTGCAATCTATTCTTTAATAATATCGAGCATCAAGAATTATATTCTCTTATAGATTTCTAAATATAAATATAGAAATCGTCAAAAGCAAATTTCTAGAAATATCGAAATAATTCAAATCTATATATATTAAAATATCATAATAGAGAATATAGATTTCTTAGAAATTTTATTATTCGAGAATCTAGTCTAATTATTTTATGAGGCTTTTTATTGGTATATATAGGACGCCAATCTCAAATCTCTAGAAATCAATTTGAGAAAGATAAGAAATCTAGGTTAATAATAATCCAGATATTGGGCGAATTATCTTTCAATAATGATTAGATTGGGGAGATAAGATTTCTCTATTAATAAATTAAAATTAGTATAAATCAGGATTCTAATAGAATTCAATATAATCAATAGTATTAGAAGAATAATCCGAATCTCAAATATCAAATATTATTCTATTAATTAAATTGATTTCTTTTTATCTTTATCTATTTATTTTATTTCTCTATATCTCTCTAATATTTTTTATATATTATTTAATCTTCTTCTTTTTTTCTATTCATATATCTATATATTAAATCTATTCATCTTATTCTATTCATCTCAGCTTTCATAATTTATGAATTTGAATTATTATAAG